TAAGTTTCGCTATTTGTTGACAAATTTTCGCTCTTGCTTGCCTTTTGCTTCTTTCTGTTTGCTGCAGTTTGGTTTAATTACATAGAACATTTCATGGCAAATCCTCAGTGACAAATGTTTTGTTTTGCTGCTCCTCTTGCTCAGCGACAGAGAACTTTGGCTTAATAGTGGAAGAGTCTTGAATGCGAAATTTAATCTATAAAGCACTTTAGAGCAGGTGACACGCCTAATGTCTTCTGATCAGCGTTAAGTTCATAATACCCCTTTGCTAAGAGGGCCAATAGAGCATTTGGGACACGCAAGCTGCTGTCTGCTGCCTGCTGCCTGCTGCCTGGCTGCCACTTGCTCATCCAGTTAAGCAAAGCCCCAACTAGGCAACAGAAAAGATTTGACTAATTTATTTAATGGCCCGGTTATTACACGAACATGACGCTGAGCTGAATACAGAAACTGTTTTGGGGCGACGGGGACGATAGAAGCAGCTGGAGCTGGAGTCGGCCTCCACTTGGAAGTTGCTTGCATTTACAAGGCATTGAATAATGGCCAAATCTGCTGCAAAAGTTTTATTGCACTTGCCAAATTAATTTGCCACAAAGTAGAAGGCGCCAGACGTGTTGTTGTTGTTGTTGTTGTTGTTGCTGGTGTTTGGCACTTTGCTAATGTAGACTACTTGGCAATGGTAAATGGTAAATGGTAAATGAAAATGGAAATGAAAATGGCTATGCCAAAGCGAATGGAAATGACTATAGAAAACACCACCAACAACAACAACAACAACAGCAGTAGCAGTAGCAGCATCAGCAGCAAAACGAACTTGAAATGTGGAAATGAAAGCTAAGTTTGAGGTTGGTTTCTCTGCTTCTATTTATTTTTTTCTTTTGGGTCTACTGGGATATATATTTCCATCCGCTCTTAAATGTGCGTTCATTAATTTAATTTTTCATTATGCAGCGGCAAATGAAAAGTGTCATAAGACCGTCGCGGCTGGCACCACCATGGCCATGGCCCATAAACAAAAGGCCAGAAAAGCGAACTCAACCGAACGAACTGTGCGGGCCAAAAAGGCAGCAGCACCTTTTATTTTAATATTTGGTCATTAAAAACAGTTTCCAGACTCACTAAGCACAAGATGACGGACCCAAAGAGCTCGCTCCATAACCAACCAAAATGCGTGCAATCCACGACGTTTTTGATTTCGTTTTTTACGCACACACACACCTATGGGAGAGTCTGGTTTTTTATGATGACAGCGCAAAATGCCGAGAAAAACGCGTAAAGGAAAAACAAATCGTTGCACACGGCAGCAGCAGCAGCAACAACAGCAACAACAACAATAACCTTTAACGCCCCAACAATTAAGGCTAAACGCTTTTATAACATCAATTGGGGGCGGGGCGAGCCGAAAACTTTGGAACTGCTGCCGGGGTTTGGAAAGTCCTCAGATTAATGACACTGCGCGATTTTTACGATTGTTTCTTCAAGTTGCGGAAAAAAGTTACGAGGCATTCGGCTTTTTCTTTTATACATATATATTTACATATATATATATATATATATATGTATATATATTTTTTTTTTAAATTTATGAAATTTTACCTTTTGGCCAAGCAATTTGCTCCATTTACATTCCTTATTATCCGACTGCCGCGTTAAAAACTTTTAATTTTCTTCTCTTTCTTTTGTTTTTTTTTTTGGATTTTCCTTTATTTTGTTGCTTTTGTTGGCAAAGAATTTGTTCATCGTATGCAAGTAATATAAAAATCGGCATACAAAAGATTAAAACAATCCAGCTACGGGTCAGAGGTAGCAAAGTTATCATTTCTATGCAGGCATTGGAAGAATTTGGTGTGAGAGACAGTTGGGGCAAGGCACATACAAAATGCAAATTTGGTTTATTCGTAGGTCGTTAATGTGCGTAAGCAGAAGACGTTACGGCTAAAGAGTATAGGATAAGCGTAAAGGAAGCTTGTCATTTCATTTCATATTTATTTATTTATATATATATATATATATATATATATATATATATATATATATATATATTTGATAAAGTATTGAAAATTTGTAAATGTTTGCTGCCCTAAGACAAACTGATTGCTGTTGCGCCGTTTCGAGCATAGAATTGCATATTATTTATTATGTCGCAGCAGCAGCAGCTCAGTGGACCCAGCCTCAAGCCCCTTGTCTATGTTATCCACATGGAGAGAATTTAATAAATTCATCATCTTTCATTTAGTTGCTGGAGCCAAGTCTGTTACATGGCTGTCCCTGGCAGAGCGAAGAAAAGAAAGAAATAAAGCGGGCGCAAAACGAAAAGCGAAATAAAAAAATGAAAAAATTATATAAATGGGTGTTGTACTAGAAAGGAGGGGGAAAGAGAAGGTGAAGGGCACGGAGAGGGAGGGGGGGGGGGGGGGGGGGGGTCGCTTGGCGGCAAAGAGATGAAACATTTTCGCAGACAACGTGCACCAACGAAGATGAGCGCAGTCGGCGCTGCCGATGGAGGCGTGGCAGCGACGTCGGAGTTGGCCGAAAAAAGCAAAAGCAAAATCGTGACTGTCATTTCAACGAAGCGAAGTTATTTTTCATGACAAAGCAGCCGAGAACTCAGTCCTCCGACTCATTTCGCCAGCCGGCGGTAAAGCAGATAATGGCGACAGGGATCGGAACAGTTGTACGGGCCAAGCGCTGCCAGCGGACGGCTGGTCGGGGGCAGAGTGATAGCTGCACGGGCGACATGATGTTCTCGTTGTAGCTGGCGCTGTTGGCCAGGGCAGTGCAGGGCGTTGCGCGGCTGAGCATTCCAGCGTTAAAATACCTTTTACTGGCACATTACCAGCAACGCGCGACTGCCCAAACAGCGCGCACAGCGGCATCACACTAACCATCCAGGCACCCACCACCCGCCACCCGCGAACTAAGCCAAGTCACCCAGCCAGCTGAAGCTGAAGCTGAAGCTCAAACAAAATGCAGCGCAGTCGACGTCGCTGCGTTTTTCATGAAATTATTACGACTTTGGAAATGGGGTCGTACAAAATGTCGTTACGTTCAGAGACTCCCGCTCACCCATGCTGCAGCATCCCCATATCGCGCTCCTTTTGCCTCTTCCGTTACCCTTTTACATCTCCCCCGGGCTCAGCGTTCATTTTAGTTTATTGTATCTACCGAAAATGTTTGGAAATTGGTTAAAGTTAAAGCCGAAGTCGAGTGCTGGCAAACAAACACTGTGTGTGGGCTCATGAGAGTCTCTTATAGTATAAGAAAACATGTCAAAATCTATTTACCGCTTTACTAAGGTCGAAACCAAATTGTTAACATGCTAAAGATCAGCTAAGAACAGACAAAGATAGCAGGCCAAGGTGCAAAGAAAGAGGCAAAGAGATAGCAAGAAGATTGATCGGAGGTGGCAGATTAAGATACAGCACAAGAATGAGAAGAGTAACCGAGCAAGGTAGAAAGAGTGTGAGGCAGAGAGTGACCCAGAGAGTATGGGGCATCACCTGAATTGACCCACAAAAATGTCGCATCTCATCTTGGCTGTCTAGTCACCGAGAAATGTTTGTCGCGCGCTCGTAAAGATCGCATTAAAACGCTATAAAAAAGCGAGAGACACTTACTTTTATTTTTTATATTCCAGGTACTTGCACATAGCACACATATTGTCTTTCTTCTTCTTCCTCTTGCCCTTCTTCTTTTTCACTTTTCGTTTTTCTTACTATTATTATTTTTGTCTATTTGTTTTTTTTTATATAAAATTTTATTTTTTATTATTCGACTTTCTCGCTAATGAAGTTGGCCGTCATCGGCATCATCTTCATTATGGTCATCATCATTCGAGAATGTAATAAGCGTGAAATAATTGACATTTAAGCAAAGCGCACGCACATAGACAATGGAACCAAGACACAACCGCTGGACAAGTCTACATGGCAAAGCTATTCAAGAGCGCCTCCGCCCTTCCTCGCCGCAGTCCCCAGGCTGTGTATGCTTTGTAGGCCAACACCAGCGACCAGCTACGGGGCCCAAGAGCCAGCGCTTAGTCGTAGAATCATGACAGATGACCGCACGTACTCACTTCTCTCTTACTTTTACGGTCGCACGAACGGAACGCAGCCATGGAGCTGGAGTTGGATTCGAAGAGATGCGGACGCGCAGTCTGTAATTCTGGTGGGGCTACGTTTCTGGGGCATGAACCAAAAATGTAAAATAATAAGTTGGTTTTAAAATAAAACAAAAAACAGTCGCTGTGCCTGACCTCACCTCATCATCTGGCCGCCGCGTTTACCTATTTCTGTTGGCACTCTTATTCTTCCTCATCTTTTTTTTTTTTGGTTTTTGGTTTTGTGTCGATTTGCAAAGCGTATCATTTTTTTGTGGCTTGGTGTGGCACCTGTGCGCGGCGCGGAGGCAGCAGCATGAAACATCTGTCAATGCGACACGTGATGTGCTTGCGAAATTTTAACACACACACACATGCCACAAATTGGCATTTAAAGTGTGTGATAGTTGGGTGCCAAGGTAATCAGATTAGATCCCAAAATGATAGAGCGTCCGGAATGTCAGAATTATTGCGGCTGTGGCTGGTTGAGCTCACTAACTGAACTACAGGTACAATAATGTATTTTTAATGATTGAATATTCTTCACTATTAATCGAAGTAATGAAAGAAACAAGTTTTAAGCGAATTTAAGATATAAATAATCAGAAATTGAGGTATTGACAATCTGTAGATATGCCTAAAGATTGCTATATACAGATTCCTCTATTGATATATTACTATAGATCGCTATGAATATATCTGAATACATATTCAATGCTCTAACTTACAGCCATCTATTGATGTAGGCAACTTTTTATGCTAATTGTATCTATAGCTGTTGAAGTATATGTGTCTGAGTTGAAGAGCTACTTGTTCTATGCATACAAAATATCAAAAGATTCAGTTTATGTCCATACACACATAGTCATTTATGAAATCCCCTTTTCTTCTTTTGTTACAGTCAGCGCCATCAATGACCTCAGCTAACTCGTAAACGGTAAGTGCAAAATTGTCTGTAAAATGCATTTTAAACTCGCAATCAGATGCTGGAGCTGGGGCTGGGGAGATGCTGCTGTAACGCAGCCCTCTCTTTCTTGTCCCGTTGGCTATTACATAGAAAATAGCATAAAACACACTCAATGCGCCCCCAACCTCGACCTTAACGTCAGCGTTGGTCACGCCCAACGCCCCGTAATGCGGCGCCAACTAAATTGCTTTGCGGAGCTCAGCATCAGGCAGCTTTACCTATAAACCAAAATGAATGACTGAGCGAACGTCCCGCACCGCCGCACCGCAGCGCGCCGGCCAAGCGGGTGCGAGGGTAGAGCTCCAGCGTGGGGTATGGGACTGCAATATAAACGGCTGTGAATGCAAATAGATGCGTTGTGCTGCGAGTATATGCAAAAATCTCATGCTGACTGCAACCTCGTCATCAGCAGCATCATGATCATCAACAACGTCATCAACAGCAACAGGAACAGCAGCCGGAAAATGCAATCGCATCAGGCGGTCATAATATGGTCGATGAGTAGAAGGGAGAAAATGAAAGGGTTTAGGGGTTGACGTGTGGTCGCGAGCTGGCCCTGGCCTGCCTGACTGCCAGCCATGAGCCTCGAGCCACGGGCTAGTTGATGGTGCTAAAAAATGTTGGCCGCAGGCAATGTCATCATCTTCATGCTCATCATCTGCATCCATATTAACATTAGCACCAACAGCAGCATCATCGTGTGAAAATTTAAATGCAACATTTTGTTTTTATTTTCCTCCCATTGACTTTGACCACGCATAAAATCCGTCAGGTCCTCCGCATGCGGCGCCCTCCTTCGATGGCATTTGCCTGAGCTTTTATTAGAATTATCTAGGAGCAGTGAGCGGTGAGGCAGACAACTTTCGTGCTTATGTGATGAATCAATTCGTAGCAAGAGGAACGCATTTAGCGGTTGCATCCAATGCGACTCCTATCGCATTACGCCATCTGCCGGCAGTTAAATGAGTTAAGCAGACCCGATTACGGTTAGAAGGATGCTCCATTAGAGCAACAGCAACAGTAGCAACAGCAGCAGCAGCAGAAGCAGCAACAGCAACAGCAAGGGCTGCTAGGCACCACATTAATCCGACCCACTTGCGTAGGCAAACAACGTAATTATAAGCAACCCAATAGCTGACTATCTCCTGCCTCTGCTGTTACACGTACCTTGGCTGAAGGCTTGTTCGTAGTTGAGAGTTAACTTGGAGGTTATGTGATCAGTGGAATTAAACAGTTTCAATGTAAGCATAGGGATCAGCGCAAGGAATAACTTAAGTTTGGCAAAAGCTTTTATATAAACTTTGACTTACGATTGAAAAACTATCTTTTGCTTAGATTGACTAGAATAACTGAAATTATGATCTCCTTAAATGCATTGAGCTAAGCTTCTTATGCACAACTAAAGTGTTTAATTCTCAAGCTTTACGCTGCTTATTAAACTGAAAGCTCTTATGACTAGCAAGGCGGTAAAGTATATAAGTCTGAACATTAAGATAAACATCTAACTGCTTGACTCTCATTGAGTTAGTTTAATTTGTTAGTTAAGCTTTTGGTTGCTTGACTCTCAGTGGGCTGTTTAGATTAATCGCAACATAATCTAAAGCTCAGCTAGCTATTACATAATGTTCTAAACTCATCAGCTTTGTCAGAGGACTCGCAATTGACAACTATTAAGGAGGTTGTCCTTAATTATGGAGCGTCTGCCGCTTGCCTAATCCCCAATTGCCTGCAACACGTGCTAAATTTACCGCTTTGTCTATATTGTTTTTATTTTATTGTTGTTTATTTGCCGTTTATTTTTTCTTGCTTTTGCTTTTGCTATATTTGCACAAGCGACACCAGGGTCATAAATATTGTACGTCGCCTTTAATATGCAATAAGCTGTTGTATTTATTTACACAGCTCAACAAATGCCAATGATTTTTTCCATAACTCATTTGGCACATACAGCAACTAAGCACCCCAACCCCAGCCGCGCTCCCTTCACCATCCCCCTATCCGCTGGTTAACCACTTGCCACGCATTTTAAATCATGACATAAACACTTTCGCACATCCCAAGCAGCATCCAACCAGCCAACGCTGGGCAGCTATTTTGTTTATTTATTTGTCTGTTTGTTTGTTTGTTTGTTGCTGTTGCTGTTGCCAATGACTTTTATGATTTTTGTGGTCAGGGTTATGCAATTGCAGCAAGGGACACGAATTTAACTCATCAGCAGCAGAATACATATCTATGTATCTATGTATATATAGAAATATATATTTATATATAGAAATACACATAATTGATATTTGACACAAAATTTATGATATGTTTGCCAAGTAATTAGTTGAAATCATCGCACTTGCAGCAGCGCATGCAATGTCGAGTGATGGCGCTGTAAAACAACTGAAAACTGAAGCAGAGAAAGAGTCCAGCTCTAGTTGGATGTGGGTTAATAAACTTGCTTTATAGTGAAATCTTCAGATTGAGTTTCCACTCCAATTTTATTTAAATCTAAATAAAATAGATATGTTTCGCAACTGATTTTCTGTAGAGTATAATTTTCTTTGGAATTTGTTAACTTTAAACATAACTCTAGTTCTAAAACCAAATAGAGATCTCTAAATGGATGTGTTTGTTACACATACCGCAATGAAACGTAAAATACCTTCTGCCAGAGTATAAACATTATCTAATCGGCTTCAAAGAACGCAGCTAGAGCTTGGTCCTATCTGCCAGTGCAAATATTGTCACAAGCTGCCAACGACGACGACGACGATGATGAGCTGTGAGAAGGAGGCGGCAGACGTAGACGTCCAAGTTATCAGATTTCACTGCTAAACGGTAGACGAAAGATTTCGCAGTAAACCAAACCAAACCAAACTGTGCAACTATTTGCACAACTAATAATTCACTTTAGTGTTTCATTTAGTACAAATATTGATAATGCCTAGCACAAATGCAGTAAAAATCTAGCGTCCGGGCGGGACAGGAATGTGTCATAATGGCTCTTATCATGCACGAGACTATTCCTCTTTATAAACATGACTTGGCCAAAATTATTGTGTTCCGAAAACGAAAAAACTTAAAGTTTAACGTTTTGAATTCCCCAAAGACGCTGATAAATACCCAAAGCCATACAATGTACAATAATTTTGTTTGTTTAATTTTATTGTATATAAAAAAATGTGTTTTTTTCCATCGTTCGTTTTTTTTTTTGCCAGCTCACTGTTGAGTTCTCAGATTTTAGATCTAAGATCTCGAATCTTGGCATGCAAGTCATGCGGCGTGTTTTCTGGGGGAGGCCTCGTTGAGCATTTCAGATGTTTGTTATTGGGGTCTCCCCACAAACAAACACACACACTCTACAATATGTGCATTCACGTTTGTGTGTGGGCAAAATGTCAACATCATGTGGCAAGAAGAACTCCATAAGCTGCTTAGTGTTGTTAGCAGTTGCCCATTTTTGGTTAGCTGTGATGAGGCGACGGCCTTGAGAATCTCTTTTGGCTTGTTTATGGCCACGTCTAAGCGTTCAATTGCTGACAATGTGCACAAACGAACAGACGCTTCATTGAAAGCAGCTTTTCCCTTGATGATTGCCGACATTTCAAGCTTGACGCTGAGAACTGAATTATTTGCAACTTGTTACCCATCAGTCAACTTCAGATGCGCTGCGAACAGCCAAAGCTCAGTGTCGCACTGCAAGCCATGAATTTCAATAAACCTTTGATTCACTTTGTTTTCACTTTAGTCCCGGAATATTTGAATACTTAATACTTGTCTTTCACCTTCGAGCTGTGCATTTTAATCACTCTTTCGACACTATAAATGTGCTTATTTATAAATTTCAATTGGTTCCTGTGAGAATGGCGATTGTCGTGCTTTCATTCAATTTCAACTGGATTTAACTTTGCCTTGAGAAACAATTTCAATCTGAACTTCATCGATATGTTTCCTACCTCAGCTTGGCTAAAATCTCGACCAACCTTCGATTTAATGCTGATTCAAGTTCTATGCAATGACAACTATATAAGTAAACTGTAATGGCTTCAGTGTTGATTAGCTGTATTGCTTTCGATTAATTGAAAAATTCACATTTAGTGCACGCAGCTGATCGATTTAGAAGTGCAATTCATCGACACTCTTGAGGCCGTCTGCTTCAATCAGATTTCCATTTAATTTTTATAAAACGCCTTTAATCCATTTTGCTTATCAATCAGAAATGTCGCAAACAGGCGGCCACAAACAAATCTGTGCTAAGAGTCTCGCTTGAATGGGGCTTTCAATCAGTGCCATTGGACTCTTTCAATCAGCTTAAGAGGGTAAAAGACAAAGACGCCGGGGCGTGGTCAGCAGTTGTGACCGTTCGTCATTCACCTTGGAAATATCTTGCAGTGTACAGTGAAGCGGAAAAACCAGTAATTAAATGGCTTCACTTTTACGCTTTTTTCTCTTGCGGCCAAACAAAATATAAAAAGCAAAAAAAATACAAAAAACAAATAGCAGAAGATGAAGAAAAGCACACGCCTTCTTCATTTTCTTTCAGTGTTTGGCATTTTTCGCTTGCCAGACAAAAGCACTGTACTAACCCGTCCAATTTGTAATTGAAACTTTCATTTTCATTTTTTTCCATTTTTTTGTTTCACATTTTTAACGTTTTTCACTTTTTGCTTTGCTGTTCACAATTTTTAAGCATGTACCTAATGAAAAACCGGCACCAGCTCAAGATCTGTGAATGTGCAGCGGCGGTGCTATGAACCAGTTGCCATTGCTGCTGCACCGAATTGCTATGATACCCTCTCTAACCATCTGTCTGCTTGCTAATGGAAACGGACTCGACAAATTGCAATTATGTTTAAACTTAACTTTGTCGCATCAACAACGTGAAATTGAAATTAAAATTTAAGTGAAAATTGAAATGAAAGTGGAAAGTGTAGGAAAATGAAAACGAAAATGGCCACCCAAAGGGCGACAGGAGTAGAAAA